CAATTTACACTTTTGGAAATGAAAGCAGACTCTCCCCCACAACCCTTGCAAGAAAACCTTCTATCCCACCTTCCTTTTCTATAAAGTTCAGACTAATTTCCCAGGATAAAACGAGATGGGGAGCAAAAGGTGGTGGTTATAGCTTCAAAACAAAAGAGCTGATTTATAGACTGATTGATTTCAGAAATAGATGAGCAAAAACAGGTTCCATTTGTCTTGCTACACTTTAGTCTGATAAAGCACAAAAAGTCCTGCCATCTCATTTTCCATACCTCTTCAGGGGGTTGCATTTGAAATGTTGATTAAATGAACAAATTGCATTGCTATTTTCATGCCTTTCCTGAGTTGTGTGCAAAAAAAAGATTGAATACATGAAAGCTGCTTCTCACTTTCTGAACGTGGAGTTGAACATTTTAGGGTAATAACATCCCCCCCTTTTTTCTGATATAAAAATATACTGTGGATTCTATAACAATCATATCTGCTCTTTCATTTATCCATTAGTTCCTGTCAGATTATGAATGAGGAATAACAACAAAACAATTGCTGGACCAGGCAGTTCTTTCTAAAAGCTTCAGTTACACTGTAATCTCTAAATTAGCATCTATTTATAATTAATTCATATATTAATCTTGCATTACAATTTTTCTGTAGATTTCATTTTTAACTACCAATCCAATTATTAAGAAAACAGCTCCAAGAATCCCACAGTAGAGATGCATGGGTTTAGAAGTGCTCCAGTACTATGAGGGCCACTCCCTAGGGTGACAGCCAACAGTGTTCAGAGGTCCATGTGGTACTGGCAGTCTTGCTTAAGGCTTTACATGTGCTGCAGATGTGCTCTAGCACTAGAGCATGCCCACCCCATCTATGGTTTCTTGCTTATCCATCACAGCTTCTGAATCATTAAGCATGCAAACCATAACAAATCCCCAAGTATCTTCATTGTGTTCATTTTTAAACATGTCAATAAATTCTTTGTTGCTCCCATCATGAGGTGAAGTCCGTATATCTCTGTTTGAAGCAGATGAGATTGTTTGAAGGGTTTGTAACCAACAGGTTATAGTGGTAGTGACCCTATGTGACTCCCAAGACTTAGTTTAACACAAAGTAATGCGGCTTCTGACTCTAATGCACTGACTTCTGGGAACTTGAATTTTCAAGTGAGCCATGTGATTACTCTGGGACTGCCATGCTGTGAGGAAACCCAAGCAAAATACAGGGATATTTCTTGCAGCTTCATGAAGAGAGATATGACCTGTCCAAATCTTAGCGCTTATAGTTCCCTACTCTTTGACTGTCATCCACAAATATACTGAAAGATATGTCTTTCCTTTAATTAATATCATTATATATTATATATACATATATATATATATATATGTGTGTGTGTATTGAGTCACCATGTGTCCCTGGGTTAAACCACTCTTGGCCACAATGTATAATTCTTTTGTTTATAGACTGATTCTTGACAAACATGCATAAGATGAACTGCTTTAGAGAGCTGCGAAGAATCTTAGGTGCTATCTTATTTAAGTTATTCTAAATATTAAGAATCCTTATTCAAGTTGTTAATTGTTAAGTGTTAATTGTGTGTAATAAAATGGAACTATGTAGTACCAATAAAACCATAATGGCTATATGTAACCTACTTTTATGCAAATTTTGAACTTACTATTGTGAATTAAGGATACTCTGTGTTATTTTTTGAAATTGAATAAGGATTCTTAATACTCACAAAGCTTGAGAACTAAGTTTTATGTGTCCTTTGCTACCCAGACATCATTCAATACTTCTGTCATGTGTTAATCATTTGTTATATTAATAATATGATACAGAAACTACCTCTAAGAGCCTATATAGCAATTGGTACATTTTACAGTTAAGGAAATAAAGGCAGAAAACAATGAAAATGATGACTTTGGACATCCCTGTATTTGAGACAGAAGTTGGATTTAGAGAATGGGTCCCAGATTGGCTTATATAACAGAAATAAAGAGTTTTTGTTCTGAATGTTTTTCATGAACAATTACAATAATAGAGAAACTTTCTCCTCAGCCTCTCACATTGATTCACTCAGCTCTGTGCATCTGAACAGTCTTGTGCTGGTCAATAATAACACTTGACCTTGGATGCTGTAAATTTACTAGAGAGCAGAAGATAGAGAGATCAGTATTTTGATGTTAAGGAGGTTCATTTATTGGTTATTTTTCCTCAGACATTTAAATAAAGTGAAGAACTGGAGGAATACAAGGAATAATTTTTATGAATTTCATTTATGTAGGCAATGATTGATAAGAAGAAAGCACAAGAAAATTATTAATTTGGCACTATTTCCAGCATTAAATGCATCTCCTTTTTTAAAAAACCCATGTATGTTTATAAGCCCTTTCATAACTTTGCTCAACTAGATACATCTTTAATGACTTCAGATAGTAGAAACGTATTCTTCATTATCTTATCCTAAAAGTTAAAGCAACTAAGGTTAAATTCTGTGGTTCCTTTATGTTTTTGTGTTTGATGTAAAGAGACAATGGAGATGGAGGGCTAAGAAAACATGGGCTACACCTTCAACAATGGCAATGTGTATGCCAAAATTGTCCCCGAACAATGTATTCCACAGGTTAATTTTTGTAAGCAATTCCCTGAGGAACTCTTCAAAACATAAGATTTTTGTATTCATTCACTCTGGAAACAGAGTGTTCTATTTCCCCTTCAAGATTAATGTGTGTGTCTGTGTGTGTGTGTGTGTGTGTGTGTGAGAGAGAGAGAGAGAGAGAGAGAGAGAGAGAGAGAGAGAGAGAGAAACTAAATCCCCAGAAAAATCTTATGCTGAGAAAATTGGCTTGAATTGATTTCAACTGGTGGTTTGATTCCCAAATTATTATTGACCCTACCAACTTGATTTAAATTGATATTGTTCAAATCCATTGTGGGCTTGGGAAATGCTGCCCTGTACATTCCTTTGTTTTTACTCAATAACTTTTCTTTTTATATTCTATGACTTAGTTGGACACAAACAGCAAGTACTTACAAAAGGGGAAACTATATAGCATCAAGTATAATTATACTTCTTGAAAGCATTTCTTTTAAAAGAAAAATATGTTAAATATTCATCTAAAGTCTACTAACGTGTGAAAGACTTCATTGCTTCAATACATGCAGCACTTATTTTATCCTATTATTATTACATATATAAATGCACTTGGTACATACAACCAAATCTCATTTTTCACTTTCTTTATACATTTTAGTGGTTTTCACATTAAAATCAGGTTTACTTATTCCATATCTGCTTGAATTCATTGGGATGGTTTTCTACCTATTTTGATCACAATAATACTGTTAATCAGACAAGGAAACCCTTATCAATTTCAAAACCACAATTAAAATTTGAAACCAACATTATTAGATGTTTTGAACATGAAACAATATTCTTTACATTTTCAGGGAGTCAACAAGACTTTTTCTCTATTCTATTTTCTGCTATTGAAATCTTACATAAAATTTAATACATGCAATTGTATATGCAATTTTATACTCTAATGTTTGTAATGTATTGTTATTCATTTATCTTTAAAAAATTACTGAAGTGGTACAATTTAGAAAAATAATTCAATAATTACTATTCCAATAATATAAGATCATATTATTTTTTATTAGGCTGGAGCGATAGCACAGCGGGTAGGGCGTTCGCCTTACAAGCGGCCAACATGGCCGACCCGAGTTCGATTCCTCCGCCCCTCTCGGAGAGCCCGGCAAGCTACCGAGAGTATTCAATATGCCAGACACAGTAACAACAAAGTCTCCAATGGAGACATTACTGGGCCCGCTCGAGCAAATCGACGATCAACGGGAGGGCCTTTACCTTACCTTACCTTATTTTTTATTAAAAGTTGATTAGTTGTATTAATGAAATGGGCAAATATTTCAAATTAATTGATAACACTACAATGCAGGAGTTATAAAGCATTTTCAAGTAATTAGATTTAAGGATTTTATATTATAATACTTTTTTACTCTAAAGCAGAGTTATCCTATTTAATTGTGTTTATATATTTTAAAAAGTATATGTGAGGGGTTGGAGCAATAGCATAGCGGGTAGGGAGTTTGCGTTGCACGCAGCCAACATGGCCGACACGGGTTTGATTCCCAGCATCCCATATGTTCCCCTGAGCACTGCCAGGAGGAATTTCTGAGTGCATGAGCCAGGAGTAAGCCATGAGCATCGCCAGGTGTGACCCAAAAAGAAAAAAAAAATGTATATGTGAATATAAATGTCAGAATCATTGGTTTTATATGTCAAAAAATAAAATGTTGTGTTTTCAATCATAGATGTTCAAAGGTGTATATTGTTTTATATGTTTTAATATGGTAAAAAGAAATAGAAGCTAAGTAGTTAGTTGGGAGTTTTATTCCTAAATTATGTAGTGAACGTGAAAATCAGAAGGCTGTAGTTCCAGGATGGTAGGGATATTTTAAAATTATTCCTTTTAGAGTTATTACTGGTTGTTATAAATTCTCTTGGCATATTTTCAGAAATGTGTCATTTTTATTGTCTAAAATGTCGGAAACTATTGTCTTATTTATGAGTTAAGTGTATGTTGCATTGGTTTTTCCTTCCCATTTCAATTCAGATTGCTCATTTGTGGGCAATTCTTTTTTCACTTTACTCCCTAATAAGGATTTGTCTTTTGCCAAGGTGCCAATTATCCACATTGCTTTATTATAATGTGTTATACTGTGATCTGACCAATAAGAACAGAATAATTTGCTGGTAGGGGATTGCTTTCTACACTTATCACTTTTTTGGGAAATAGCGTTCTTTAGGAAGCGAGACTCTCTAAAATCTTTTACTAGAGAAATATTTGCATCATCAATATTTTTTAGCTTGCTTGTCTTCAAGCTCCAATACAAATAACCTGAAATAAATAAAGTGCCAATTATGTGAACAGTGAAAAATACCTTGCTTATTCTATTCTTTTCTTTTGCAATTGCAGATGTCATTCATACTGTAGGGCCAATAGCCAGAGGACATATAAATGGTTCCCACAAGGAAGACCTTGCAAATTGCTATAAATCATCCCTGAAGCTGGTAAAAGAATATAACCTTCGTTCTGTTGTAAGTACTTTCATCTTCCTTTTCCAGTCTTTACAGTTTGGAAAATGATTTTGTTTGAAATGAGTTCAAAAACTTCTCAAAGTTGGGAAAACTAAATTTAGGGATTATAGTAATTAACAATTTGTTACTGTTTATCATACCTCCACACTTCTTTATCATGAATATGTACTTAATTTGGTGATTTAAAATGATGATTCCAAAACTGAAACTATCCCACCCACTTTCTTCTCTAATTTATCATTTTATTCTAAAGATAATAAAATGGTGGTAGTGGTCAACAAACTTGAAGAAGGAAAATGGCGAGTTCTTTAAGTTTACTGTAATTCTGCATATTTAATTACGTGTCAATCATATCTGCATGTTTAAGGCTTAGTTTAACTTTACTAGATATGAACATGCATATGTAAAAACATAGCTTCTGAAATTACTCATCAGCAGAAACTTTTTGTGTGTTATCTTGAAAACTGTTATTCTTTTAAACTTATTTATTTATTCTTCTAAACTATTGCTCTGGTTGGGTCTAACACATCACTTCTAAGTTTTGTCAATTTATACACAGAGTTCAGAAAATGTGGATCTAATGTATTTCTTTACCAGTAAGTTAAGATGAAAGGAAGTCTCTTTTAGCTGAATTTGGAGATGTTTATTCACCTGGTTTTCTTTTGTAACATACTCTATATTTATTATATGTCCATTACCGCCAGAGAATAGAATTATGAGAGAAAGGAGAGTATAAATACACAATAATAATTTAATTTAAGCAAAATCCCTTGAGCCCTTTCAAATAGATTGTAGTATTTGCTAAAATTGAGGGCCAGGAAGTTAGTTAAACATGTGACTTCTTAGACTGAATGAAGAGTTAGACACAGTTAGACAACCCTGAGTGGTAGCTATGCATACTCATGAATGATTGCAAATATAGAATGCCTTTATCAAGGTACATTAGTGAGCATGTTTAAAATAAGAGTACTTTTTTCAGGTTCATTATAGATTATTTTAGTATTTGCATTATTTTAACAGTGCAGAAGTTTTCTTCGGTTTTTTAATTAAAAATAGTATTGCCTTTCAAATGAATCAATAAATTAGGCCCATTTCTGTCTTAGAGGAGAAAGCTGTAGTTCAAACAGAATAGACTAAAACAACCCTACTAAATAAACCACTTGGCTATTTTTTACCTTTGCTAGATTATCAGAAAAATCAAGACAGGTGTGCACATTGAGGAAATAATTAAAATTTTTTCAATGTGGCTTATTGATTTTAAAAGGCAAAGGAACTGAAATTCTTGGAAAAAAATAGATACACATAGAAATTTTCAGATTAGGAAATATTGATTTTGAAACCTGAAAGGGATTTACTAATGAATTCATTGGCATTTCTAATATTTTAAAAGATTGGAAAGGGAATCTGCCTAACTATGATGATCTTAAAACTAATCATTTTTAATGCACTACTTGCTATGATAGCTAAGGAATGGAACAGTTGTGGACAAAGTTAACTTTTATCATATGACCTGCTACTGAACCACAGCAATATTCTAGTCACAATGGAGTGGGAATAGACCTTAACATCTTTGATAATGATTTTGAAGGGTTAATTACATGGTACATAGATAATATTAGCAGGTGGTGCTAAACTGAACTCATTCCAATAGTAGTAAATATAAATGGAGATTGAAAATATCAGTGAAATGTGAAGCAAAATGTCGAGCTAAATTAATCACTATATTCTTGCATGGTTGACTGAAATTGTCATCCAATGCCTTGTATTTAATTTACAAAAATTGAACTTCATTTATTTTCTATTCTCTCTCTCTCTTTTTCCTTCCCTTCTTTTCCCTTCTTGCATTGAAGAAGTTTGGGGATTTTCTATTTTATATAAAATGCCATGCTATTTACCATCATTAAATTAATAATAATGATGTCATAAAATTCTCAAACTATGAGGGTAAATGGAAAACATTCTTAGATATGTTATTATTTGTAGATAAGTAGTTTTGTAGTGTAATCTTGTGCTTTCAGATTTATCACAACAAATGGAAAAGATGGTTGATACTAAAAGCTTAATTTTTATAAGGAACAATTTAAAGTCATTTTTATGCTTAATGTTTTTGTCAACCACTTTTCCAGACTGTGTTAATGTGGCTCTGCCAGTTACTCTTGGTCATAGATATTACCTTTTCATACAAAAAATCAGTAAATTGATTGTTATTTTCTCAGACTTCACTAAGTCATGAGATTATTACCGTTCTTAGGTGTAAGTGTAAGATACTGCTAAACAAATGCAATTTTTAAAAAGCTAATTTGCAACATCATTGCATGTGTAAATATTTTCCTATGTTAAAAGTTGGGAAAATTGAAAAATTCTGCTTGATATCTATTTTAATAATGAGATCTTTTATCATCATATCTAATATTCTAAAATAATATTTCTTATATTACATTTGTCTCTTGGGCCACATTGCAGTTCTTGGGTCTTACCTTTGACTTTGTTCTCAAAGGTCACTCCTGATAGTGTTCAGGGACCATATTAAAATATTAAAAAAAACATTATTCAGTATTATATTTATTTCATAAATTAAAAGGATCAATAACATTAGTATATTAATATAATCTTATTATATTACTACTATTAGTAATTAACATATTACTAACATACTAATTCAATAGCACAGAACTTTCTAGCAGATTATTATTCAGGTGATAAATTGAGTAGAATTAAACTATGCTAATTCCATTACCACAGATAACTTTCTTACATTTGTAGTTTAATGTTTACATATTGAAATACTATTAAATTATCATGGTTTACTCTACTATGGTTGAACTCTAGTATGGGTTCCTTGACAATAATGCTACCAAATGCTAATAAAATGAGTAAGGAATATATTGTTTATATGATATGTAAGTGTCATCTAAGGAAACATGCCAAATCCTACAATGAAATACATTCTTTAATTGGTTAAGATGTGTTGCAACTGGGGCTAGAGCGATAGCACAGCGGTAGGACATTTGCCTTGCACGCAGCCAACATGGCCGACCCGAGTTCGATTCCTCCGCCCCTCTTGGAGAGCCCGGCAAGCTACCGAGAGTATCTCGCCTGCACGGCAGAGCCTGGCAAGCTGCCTGTGACGTATTCGATATGCCAAACACAGTAACAACAAAGTCTCCAATGGAGACGTTACTGTGCCCGCTCGAGCAAATCGATGAACAACGGGAGAATAGTGACAGTGACAGTGTTGCAACTACAAATGATCCGCGAATCTCAGTGACCAAAAGTCAGAAATTGTAGTTTGTTGATGTTCCAATATCTAGTAATTAACTAGTATCTGAAACTGATGGTCTTTTGCAGCCTAAAAAGAGACTTGAGATTCCAGAGTGGGTAAGGCACTCCCCTTGCACCTTGCCAACCCAGGTTCATACTGAGCACCACATTTGGTCCTCCAAATACCACAGAGTGATTTATGAGCCTAGAGCCAGGAATAAGCCCCAAGCACTTTTGGGTGTGCCCTTGTCCCTCTACCTCCCTGGGCTAGGGAGGTGGGGTGGAGGGCGGGAGAGGAGAGGAAAGCCAGACTAAAAAGTTAAATATGGACATACAAAAGTTCTGGAGATATCTTCTTTTCTCTAATTTCTCCAGAGATGCATGTCCTCCGAAGTTTTATTCTGGAGGTAAAACAAATTGTATGGTATTACTTTTTCAATTTATTTCACATTAGTAGTATTTACTACATAAAAATTCATTTTAAAGTATCATCTAATACTTGGAAAACATACTGATTAACTGCAAACACACATTTTGTCTTCCTAACTACCCCAGACATAAAATGACAAGATCATCATGCCACTTTTATTCCTTGAAAATACTTTGAAGTTCTCTTATTTCTTCTAAATATTTTTATGACTGTCACTGTAGCACTGTCCTCCTATTGTTCATTGATTTGCTCAAGCAGGCAGCAGTATACTTTTTTACATCTCCATTGTGAGACTTGTTACTGTTTTTGGCATGTTGAATACATCACGGGTAACTTGCCAAGCTCTGCCATGCAGGTGGGATACTCTTGGTAATTTTGCAGGCTCTCTGAGAGGGGCAGAGGAATCGAATCTGGGTTGGTCGCATGCAAGGCAAACACCCTACCTGCTGTGCTATCGCTCCAGCACATATTTTTATGACAGTGTCTGCAATTTTGTAATTAATGAGTAATATATGATGATCAGACATAATTCTTTCTCTGCAATTTACCTTTTGAATGAAAATACACATGAGATTAGGATCTAATTAATTTCCTGATACCTTTATATCAGAAATGTAAAAAAGTATGTTTCTCTCTGGCAGCATGAATTAGAGAATGATGAAGTACCTGCATCACAAAAAAAAAGAAAGAAAATACTAAGCATCACAATCTGGAAAGGACATTTGGGAGTGTAATGGGAGGCTGTGAGGAACAGACAAAAAAAAAAACAGGATAGAAATAAGTTACATTTTCTTCCCAGTTTTTAAAAAAAGGAAGATTTTTTAAATTGAAAATTAAGTAAAGTTATAGTTACACATAACTATTTAAGAATAGTTATGTCTTAGAATGGCTGCACTCATTTGTGGAATATAAAATAACACAATGTGAGACACTCAACAACGTAGAGACAAGGGCCAGGAGAACACTCCACAGTTTGGAAGCCTATCTCGTCCTGGGGGAGAAGGCAATTGAGATAGAGAAGGGACCACTAAGTGAATGATGGTTGGAGGGATAGCTCAGGATGGGAGATGTATAATGAATGTAGATAAATACCAAACATTATGACCTCCCAGTATTTTGTATTGCAAACCATGATGCTCCAAAGTAGAGAGAGACAGTTACAAGTGCCTGCCACAGAGGCAAGGGATGAGGTGTGGTAGAGGTGGCAGGAAGGATGCTGAGGACATTGGTGGTGGAAAATGCACACTGGTGGAGGGATGGGTGATCATTGTATGACTGAAACTCATTGTATGAGTGTGTGTGTGTGTGC